TCCAGCTGAACATGAGGAAGAACTTCTTCCCTCTGAGGGTGACGGAGCCCTGGCCCAGGCTGCCCAGGGAGGCTGTGGAGTCTCCTTCTCTGGAGATATTCAAGACCCGCCTGAACAAGGTCCTCTACAGCCTACTGTAGGTGACCCTGCTTCGGCAGGAGGGTTGGACTAGATGACCCACAGAGGTCCCTTTCAACCCCTACCATTCTGTGATTCTGTGATCGGAGGTACCAGCTACGTAAAGCATCAGACGGCTCAGTCTTTTGCTCCAACGTCAACCCGTGTGCGTGCGAGCCCCAAAGCGGGCACCGTTCCAGAGCTGCTGCCAACCCCTTTCCTGAACCAGCAGTGGAACAACTGCAAATTGCTAATGCTTTGTATCCAGAGTCCATCCTGCAGATAGCAGTGCACAGAAAAACCACAAAAATGGTAAAACTTAGCTCAACGAAAGCAAATCTGTATTCTCCAGGTGTCTTTGGTTCACTGGTAGACCATTCGGGGTGATATCTATGCGAGTGAGATGCTTGGCCTCCCCCAGAGCAATCAACGGGCACATCGTATGTTCTGTGAATACACCAGTAATGAACCAGACACAGCTGTATATATCTGGCACACTCGTATTTAATTCAGTATGGGCAAGCTTGCCAGCTACGTAGATCTCCCCACACGCTCCCCTCCATCTTCCTGTATACTCAGGAAACAACTGATGCTCCAAGGGCACGTTTCGTGGCATCCAGCCCTACGTCCTCCACACAGAGACAGCAACCACTGGATGTTGGACTAGATGACCCACAGAGGTCCCTTCCAACCCCTAACATTCTGTGATTCTGTGAACCACAGCCCTGTTTCCATCAGATTCACTGATAGATCTTCCCCTCCATCTCAGAGACGGAAAGAAGAGTATCTGGCTCATCAATATGAGAAGCACCCAATGACTGAAGTCACCGCAACCTTAGCATTCAAGTACACCCCATTTTCATACAAATCATCACAGAATCACAGGGGTTGGCAGGGACCTCTGGGGGTCATCTAGTCCAACCCCCTGCCCAAGCAGGGTCACCTACAGTAGGCTGTAGAGGACCTTGTCCAGGTGGGTCTTGAATATCTCCAGAGAAGGAGACTCCCCAGCCTCCACGGGAAGCCTCGGCCC